TGGTGCTGGTTATGGAGCATGTAGCCCCCCCCCTTTGTTGCGTCCATAATTGTCGCCATACCCCAGACCCTCCCCCCAAATCCCAGCCCTCGTCCCCGCTCTCGGTGACTGAATTCGTGTCCCCAGCCCCGGGCCCAGCGCTGACCTTTGGGGCAGAGTTTGGGGGAAGATCAACGGCCAAGGGTTGGGGTTTGGGGCCGGAGAGGGGGAAGGGAAATGGGGAAATGGTCACGGGCTGGGTCAGGGGCTGGGAGCTGGGGAAGGGTCTGGGGAATGGGGACAGGGGGGGACACAGTGATAGGGAAGGGGTCAATACAGCAGGCATTGTTATCACCAGCATAACCAGCAAAACCCTTGGTGCAGAAATAGGATCCGGAATCCTCGTCCTTGAGGTTGTTCATGGTCAGCGTCACCGAGCTCTGCCCGTTGTCCCTGGAGATCCTGCACCGGCCCTGGACCGATGGCGCGTAGTAGATGTAGGAACCATCACTGTAGATGCCTGCGAGCCACTCCAGCCCCTGCCCGGGTCTCTGGCGGACCCAGCTCATGGGGTAACTCCCGAAATCAAACCCGGACCCTCGGCAGAGGAGGCGCAGGGAACCCCCGGGGGGCTGGAGGTCCCCCCCACACTCCAGTAGTGTCACGGCCGCCCGGAGCCCTGCAGGACAAAGGGGAGATGGGGAGGAGGAGCTGGATTGGTTATGGACCCAAAGTGGGCACCGCCATGCCAGAAAAAGGGTGTGGGATCCACCTGGGAGGGCCAGCAGGAGCTGCAGGAGGAGGATGGGGAGGTCCCAGGGTCCCAATTTGGGGCCAACATCAGGGTCTGCAGGCAAGAATCAACATTTGGGTCGATTTGTTCCCTCATCCCCATCTCCCCTTTGTCCCACAGGGCTCCGGCTGGCCGTGACCCTGCTGGAGTGCGGGGGGGACCTCCAGCCCCCCGGGGGTTCCCTGCGCCTCCTCTGCAGAGGGCCTGGGTTCAGTTTCGGCAGTTTTGCCATGTAGTGGGTGTGCCAGAGACCCGGGCAGGGGCTGGAATTCGTCGCAAGGATCTACAACACTGCTGCTTACACCAACTACGTGCCGTCGGTCAAGGGCCGGTTCACGATCTCCAGGGACAACGGGCAGAGCTCGGTGACGCTGACCATGAACAACCTCAAGGACGAGGATTCCGGATCCTATTTCAGCGCCAGATGTTACACCAGTGGTTATGGTCATTGTTCTTATGCTTATGATGTTGATGGTGGTTGTTGTCCCAAGCCCTCTCCTCAATGTTCCCAAGCATCACAAAATTCTCTGATCCTTCCTCCAAATCCCCACCCCAGTTTCCCAAATCTCAGATATTTTCCCCCAAACTACACCATAACTTCCCCCATTCCCAGTTTTGCCCCAATTTTCCCCATTTCTCTCCAGTCTGGCCCTTCCCCTCCATCTCAGTGCAAAACGGGGATCGCTCCAGGGCCCTTTGCACACAAAGCTTTTTGTGCAGCCGGCACTCTGCCGCAGCGCCCCGAGGCTGAGCTGCCCTCTGCCAAACACAGATCTTCACAATGACCAAAACCAGGAACTTTCTGTTTCCTTTCCTGCCCCGGCCGGGCCCTGGCAGCTGCCACGGAGGAAGTGGGGGGAGGCTGGGGACCCCAAAATCACGGCGTCTTCTCCTCTCTCCCTCCCTCGCTCCCACCTGGGGCTTCACTTCTCCCTCTGCTGCCGCGGTGTCTGGGGCTGCTCCTTGGGGCATGGCTGGAATCCTCTCTGGGAGCTCTGGAGAATAAACCCACATTTTTACCCAAAAACACCTGAAATTTTCGTGAGATGAAACTGTTTAAATTGATCTCGAGCCAAGGGCTCCATGCTGAGAGAAGCAGATGGGTGCAAGGGTGGAGTCACCTGGAACTTTCCATCGGTCAAGGGCCGAGTCTGCACGGCCAGGGACAGCGGGCTGACCTCGGTGACGCTGGCCATGTGTGACCACAGGGGAAAGGTCTGGGGTCAGCTGAGGACACAGAGATGGGGACAGGGCCAAAAGCACTGGCAAAATCAGCACTGCCACCAGAAATACGCTTGGCACAGAAATAGGATCCAGAATCGTCGTCCTTGAGGTTGTTCATGGTCAGCGTCACCGAGCTCTTCCCGTTGTCCCAGGAGATCCTGAACCGACCCTGCACCAATGGACTGTAGATGGTGTAGCCTCCATTGTAGGTGATGTGGGCGACCAACTGCAGCCCCTGCCCGGGTCTCTGGCGGATCCAGAACATGTCGTGATTGGCGAGAGTGAACCCAGAGCCGATGCAGAGCAACGTCAGGGACCACCAAGGGGGCTGGAGTTCCCCCCCGCACTGCAGCAGGGTCACGGCCGCCCGGAGCCCTGCGGGACAAAGGGGAGATGGGGATGGGAAACCTGATTGGCCGTGGGGTCAAAGTAGGTGTGGCTTGCTGTAAAAAGGGGCGGGACACCGCCAGGGAGGACAGTGATGAAATCCAAGGGTCCCAATTTGTGGCCAAGAGTCAGGATTTGGGTCAAGGGTTGAGCTTTGGCCTCACCCCCATCTCCCCTTTGTCCCGCAGGGCTCCGGGCGGCCGTGACCCTGCTGGAGTGCGGGGGGGACCTCCAACCCCCCAGGGGGTCCCTGACGTTGCTGTGCAGAGGGTCCGGGTTCAGTTTTGGGAGTTTTGGAATGTTCTGGATCCATCAGAGACCCTGGCAGGCGCTACAATTCGTGGCATACATCAACAGTGGTGGCACCACCTTCTACTCGCAGTCGGTCAAGGGCCGGTTCACGATCTCCAGGGACAAGGGGCAGAGCTCGGTGGCGCTGACCATGAACAACCTCAAGGACGAGGATTCCGCTGTTTATTTCTGCGCCAATCGTACCAATGATTATGCTGGCAATGCTAATGCAGCTGCTATTGGCATCAATCCTGGTAGTGACCATGACGGTCACCAAATTTCCCCAATCCCGGCGATCCTTCCCCCAAATCCCAGCCCTTCTCCTCAAAACTTCACCCTTTTCCCCCAAACTCCACCCCTGCTTCCCCAACTCTGGACTTTTCCCCCAATTTTTCCCATTTCCCCCAAATCTCGCCCTTCCCCTCACCCTGGGGCCCTTTGCCCAGAACCATCCCCCAAGTCTCGGCCTTTCACCCCAGGTTTCCACTCCCTTCCATTGCGACCATTGACCTGAAAATCCCTCTGGGGCAGCCCTGAATCTGAACCCCTGGCCCCAAACCCGCGCTGGGGGCACCCAATCCTGAGGTTTTGGCACAAAAATTGGCACCAAGGATGAAGGGGTGGGGCCGAGAGTTGGGAATTTGGGGGAAAAGGGGGGAGATTTGGGGAAGGGCCAGTTCAGGGCTGGGACACAGGGACAGGAATGGGGTCAGTGGCTGGGGTGTGGGGAAGGGTCTGGGGAACCGGGACGGGTGAGGACATTGGGACATGGAGAGGATCCAACGATAAGCAGCAGCCTGATTATGGTAACCAATATCAGCACCCTTGGCACAGAAATAGGATCCGGAATCCTCGTCCTTGAGGTTGCTCATGGTCAGCATCACCGAGCTCTGCCCGTTGTCCCTGGAGATCGTGACCCGGCCCTTGACCGATGGTGCGTAGTGGGTGCTGGAACCATCCCTGTAGATTCCTGCGAGCTATTCCAGCCCCTGCCCGGGTCTCTGGCACACCCAGTACATGGTGAAACTGCCAAAACTGAACCCGGACCCTCGGCAGAGTAGGCGCGGGGACCCCCCGGGGGGCTGGAGGTCCCCCCCGCACTTCAGCAGTGTCACGGCCGCCCGGAGCCCTGCGGGACAAAGGGGAGGTGATGGAAATGAAAAACCTGATCCCTTGAATGTCTCATAGTGCATGTGGTCTGCTGGAAAACGTGATGGGACCCGCTGGGAGGAGGAGGGAGGATGATGAACTCCAAGGGTCCCAGTTTGGGGCCCAGAGTCAGGATTTGGGTTAAGGGTTGAGCTTTGGCCTCACCCCCATCTCCCCTTTGTCCCGCAGGGCTCCGGGCGGCCGTGACCTTGCTGGAGTGCGGGTGGGACCTCCAGCCCCCCGTGGGTTCCCTGTGCCTCCTCTGCCGAGGGTCCGGGTTCAGTTTTGGACAAGCCAGTCTGATGTGGATCCACTAGCGGCCTGGGCAGGGCCTGGAATACATTGCAGAGATTGATTATGATGGAGACACCAGATACCCGTCATTGTTCAGCAGTCGAGTCAGCATCTCCAGGGACAACGGGCAGAGCTCGGTGAGCTGAACATGAACAACCTCAAGGACGAGGATTCCGGATTCTATTTCTGTGCCAAAACTCCTGAGGGTTGTAATGCTGTTCTTGCTTATCGTAGTGACGCTGCTGGTGCTGGTTATGGAGCATGTAGCCCCCCCCCTTTGTTGCGTCCATAATTGTCGCCATACCCCAGACCCTCCCCCCAAATCCCAGCCCTCGTCCCCGCTCTCGGTGACTGAATTCGTGTCCCCAGCCCCGGGCCCAGCGCTGACCTTTGGGGCAGAGTTTGGGGGAAGATCAACGGCCAAGGGTTGGGGTTTGGGGCCGGAGAGGGGGAAGGGAAATGGGGAAATGGTCACGGGCTGGGTCAGGGGCTGGGAGCTGGGGAAGGGTCTGGGGAATGGGGACAGGGGGGGACACAGTGATAGGGAAGGGGTCAATACAGCAGGCATTGTTATCACCAGCATAACCAGCAAAACCCTTGGTGCAGAAATAGGATCCGGAATCCTCGTCCTTGAGGTTGTTCATGGTCAGCGTCACCGAGCTCTGCCCGTTGTCCCTGGAGATCCTGCACCGGCCCTGGACCGATGGCGCGTAGTAGATGTAGGAACCATCACTGTAGATGCCTGCGAGCCACTCCAGCCCCTGCCCGGGTCTCTGGCGGACCCAGCTCATGGGGTAACTCCCGAAATCAAACCCGGACCCTCGGCAGAGGAGGCGCAGGGAACCCCCGGGGGGCTGGAGGTCCCCCCCACATTCCAGTCGGTTCACGGCTGCCCGGAGCCCTGCAGGACAAAGAGGAGATGGGGAGGAGGAGCTGGATTGGTTATGGACCCAAAGTGGGCACCGCCATGCCAGAAAAAGGGTGTGGGATCCACCTGGGAGGGCCAGCAGGAGCTGCAGGAGGAGGATGGGGAGGTCCCAGGGTCCCAATTTGGGGCCAACATCAGGGTCTGCAGGCAAGAATCAACATTTGGGTGGATTTGTTCCCTCATCCCCATCTCCCCTTTGTCCCGCAGGGCTCTGGCTGGCCGTGTTCCTGCTGGAGTGCGGGGGGGCCCTCCAACCCCCCCGGGCTCCCCGCGCCTCCTCTGCAGAGGGTCCGGGTTCAATTTCAGGAGTTTCAGAAGGTTCTGGATGTGCCAGAGACCCGGGCGGGGGCTGGAAGACGTCGCAGTGATCAAGAATGATGGATCCAGCTATACCTACGCATTATCAGTGCAGGGCTGGTTCAGGATCTCCAGGGACAACGGGCAGAGCTCGGTGACGCTGACCATGAACAACCTCAAGGACGAGGATTCCGGTTCCTATTTCTGCGGGAAAGCTGCCTCTGATACTTGGGGTTCTGCTGCGGATGGTTCTGACCCCATCCCCATGGCTCTGTCCCCGCCCTGTCCAGGTTCCCCAGACCCTTCTCCCAAACTCTGCCCCTGACCCCATTTCTGACCCTATCTCCCAACCCTTCTCTGGCTCTGCCCCAAATTCTCCACTCTTGGCCGCAAAATTGACCGAAATCTTAACCCATGACCAGAAGTATCCACTTTCAGAATCAAGTTTTGGGGCACAAATTGGAGATTTGGGGTCAGGAGTTGTGGTTTGGGGTCAGCGGGTGAGAATTGGGGCCTAGGCAGAGCAAGGTTGGGATCAGTGGTCAAGAGCTGGGTGTGGGCTGGGGGTTTGGGGGAAGGGTCTGGGGAATGGGTACGGGGACACGGAGATGGGCACATCACGAGCACCGTCAATATAATCAGCAGGAGCAGCACCACGACCACAAGGAGCTTTGACACAGAAATAGGTTGCGGAATCCTCGTCCTTGAGGTTGTTCATGGTCAGCATCACCGAGCTCTGCCCGTTGTCCCTGGAGATTGTGACCCGGCCCTTGACCAATGGCGCGTACTCGGTGTAACCTCCAGTGTCACTGATCCTTGCGACGTACTCCAGCCCTCATCCAGGCCTCGGTCGATACCAGCCCATCCCAAAACTGCTAAAATCGAACCCGGACCCTCGGCATAGGACCCGCAGGGACCCCCTGGGGTGCTGGAGGTGCCCCCCGCACTCCAGCAGGGTCACAGCCGCCCGGAGCCCATCCCCAAATCCTCACCAATTTCACTCATAACTGCACTGGTTTGGTCCCAAACCTCCACCAGAATTTTTGGGTATCATGAAGTTACTCAAAAGCTGGAATTAAACTCAATATTGTCATTAATTAATTGGACACCTTCTCCTCAGGGTTCCACATTGATTTCCAACGCAATACCGCGTTAACAACACCCAAAACCCCCCAGGACCCCAGCCCCAGCACATCCCGGCCTTGGCCTTGAGGTCCCTCCTGCTCCTGGCCCTGCTGCCCCTGCTGCCCCTCCCAGGTGGGTCCCGCCCCTTTTTTCTGGAACACAAGCACCTTTTCCCCTTCTGGAGCAATCACATTTCTCATTTTTAATCATCTCCGCTTTGTCCCGCAGGGCTCCGGGCGGCCGTGACCCTGCTGGAGTGCGGGGGGGACCTCCAGCCCCGCGGGGGGTCCCTGCACCTCCTCTACCGAGGGTCCGAGTTCAGTTTTGGGAATTTTGACATGTCATGGATCCGCCAGAGACCCGGGCAGGGGCTGGAATTCGTCGCGTGGATCAGGAGCGATGGTTCCAGCACCATCTACGCGCCGTTGGTCAAGGGCCGGTTCACGATCTCCAAGGACAACGGGCAGAGCTCGGTGACGCTGACCATAAGCAACCTCAAGGGTGAGGATTCCGGATCCTATTTCTGTGCCAAAGTTGCTGGTGCTGCTTGGGCTGCTGGTGCTGTTTTTATTGACCTTTCCCGTGGTGGCAGCGCCCTTGCCTGAGCCCCTCTTGTCCCCAAATCTCAGAGCCTTTACCCAAATCTGAGCCCTTGACCTCATTCTTGACCCCTTTTCCCAGATCTCCCCTATTTCCACCAATGGTGACCCAAGACCCCAAACCCACAAACTGGTTCTGCCCCAAGCCCTCCTACTTTGGCCCCAAAACTCGCCCGATTCTGCCCCAAATCCCCACTTTGGGCTCCCAGCCACAGCCGCTGACCCAAACCTCACCCACTGTCCCCAAATCTCTACCCTTGGGGCACTTTTGGGGCACGAGGGGGAGATTTGGGGCTGAGAGTTGAGTTTGGGGCCAGAACCAGGGGTGTTTTGGGCCAATGGGCAGCGTTGGGGCAAAGGGGGCAGGGCTGGGACGAAGGGTCAGGGGTGGGTCAGGGGGGTTTAGGGAAGGGTCTGGAGACAGCTAGGGACAGGGACGGGGCTGAAACCCCAAGCACCAACCCAACCATCGGGAGTGAAACCAATGGCATGGGTGGCATTCCAGCCACCATAGGAATCCTTGGCACAGAAATAGGACCCGGAATCCTCGTCCGTGAGGTTGTTCATGGTCAGCACCACCGAGCTCTGCCCGTTATTCCTGGAGATCGTGAACCGACCCTGGACCGAATCTCCATAGTGGGTTTTGCCAACAGTGTTGATCTGTGCTACGAACGCCAGCGCCTGCCCGGGTCTCTGGCGGACCCAGCCCATCCCAAAACTGCCGAAATCGAACCTGGACCCTCGGCAGAGAAGGATCAGGGACCCCCCGGGGGGCTGGAGGTCCCCCCCGCACTCCAGCAGGGTCACCGCCGCCCAGAGCCCTGCGGGACAAAGGGGATGGAAAAGCTCAACCGTTGACCCACATCCTGACTCCTGGCCCCACATTGGGTCCCTTGGAGTTCATCATCCTCCTCCCAGGTTGGTCCAGTCCCGTTTTCCAGCAGACCACACCTGCTTTGAGGCCCTCAACCAATCAGGTTTCCCATCCCTATCTCCCTTTTTTCCCGCAGGACTCCGGGCGGCCGTGACCCTGGTGGAGTGCGGGGGGGAAATCCAACTCCCCGGGGGGTCCCTGCGCCTCCTCTGCCGAGGGTCCGGGTTTGATTTTGGGAGTGTTGCCATGCAGTGGGTCCGTCAGAGACCCGGGCAGGGGCTGGAGTGGCTCGCAGGGATCTGGGGCAATGGTGGAGACACCCGCTATGTGCCGTCTGTCACGGTTCGGTTCACAATCTCCAGGGACAATGGGCAGAGCTCGGTGACGCTGACCATGAACACCCTCAAGGACGAGGATTTCGGATCCTATTTCTGCACCAGGGGTGCTGATGGTTATGGTGCTGGTTGGGGTGCTGCAAATATTGTTTATGATTTTCTCCCTGTCCCCGTGCCGCAACCCTTCCCTCCACTCCTGACCCTTTGTCCCAACCTTGCCCTGCTCTGGCCCCAAATCTCAGCTCCTGGCCCCAAATCAGAGCTGGTTTCACCCTGAGCTCAGTCTCGGCCCTCAAATCCCACATTGCCCCACACTGGACCTGTTTTGGCCCAGAATTTCAGTGGTGGATCTGAGTCACAGACACAGACCAAATCTGGCCCATTTTCCCAAATCTCGACCATTTGCACCCAGGTTTGGGAACCTTGGCTGAGCGTTGGAGCCAAGAGCTGAGGTTTGGGGCGAAGAGCTGAGATTTGGGGCCGAGCCAGCTCAGAGCTGGGACACGGGGAAAGGAATGGGGTCCGGGGCTGGGGTGTGGGGAAGGGGCTGGGGAATGGGGACAGGTGGGGACACGGGGATGGGGATGAGGTTAACACCATCCACACCAGCAGCAGCACCCAATTATTATAGGCAGCCCTGGCACAGAAATAGGATCCGGAATCCTCGTCCTTGAGGTTGTTCATGGTCAGCGTCACCGAGCTCTGCCCGTTGTCCCTGGAGATCCTGAACCGGCCCTTGACGGATGGCGCATAGAAGGTGCTGCGACCACCACTGCTGATACTTCCAACCCATTCCAGCACCTGCCCGGGTCTCTGGCGGATCCAGCACATGACAAAACTGCCGTCATTGAACCCGGACCCTCGGCAGAGGAGGCGCAGGGAACCCTCAGGGGGCTGGAGGTCCCCCCCGCACTCCAGCAGGGTCACGGCCGCCCGGAGCCCTGGGGGACAAAGGGGAGATGGGGATGAGGCCAAAGCTAAACCCTTGACCCAAACCCCGACTTTTGGCCCAAAATTTTGACACTTCTGCCGCCATATCCTCTTCCTGGCTGCCCTCTCAAGTGGGTCCTGCCCCTTTTTCTGCAAGCCATGCCCCTTTTCCCCTTCTGGACCAATCCGATTTCTTGTTACCATAATCTCCCCTTTGTTCCGCAGGGCTCCGGGCGGCCGTGACCCTGCTGGAGTCTGGGGGGGACCTCCAGCCCCCCGGGGGGTCCCTGCGCCCCCTCTGGTGAGGGTCCGGGTTTGATTTTGGGAGTTTTGCCATGAACTGGGTCCGCAAGAGACCCGGGCAGGGGCTGGAATGGGTCACGGGCATCAGACACCGTGGTTCTTACACCGGGTACGCGCCGTCAGTCCAGGGTCGGTTCACGATCTCCAGGGACAATGGGCAGAGCTCGGTGACGCTGACCATGAACAACCTCAATTTCGAGGATTCCGCCACGTATTTCTGTGCCAAATCTGATGATGGTGATGGTGGTGGTGGTGGTTTTATTGACAATGCCCAAGCTGTCCCTATGCCCGTGTCCCCCCCGTCCCCGTTGCCCAGACCCTTCCCCCAAACCCCCAGCCCACACCCAGCCCTTGACCATCGATCCCAACCTTGCTCTGCCTCGGTCCCAATTCTCACCCGCTGACCCCAAACCACAACTCCCGACCCCAAATCTCCCCTTTGTGCCCTAAAACTTTGCCCTGAAGGTCGGGGTTTGAGGCCCAGGGTCCTGATTTTGGTCAGAATTGGGG